TGTGTGGCTGTTTTTAATCTGGCTAAGCATACAGAATGGATAATCCCCTCTGTCTTACTTTCACTTAGTCTTATTTCTCCAGTCCTGACTATTTAATCTCAAGGGTATTAGTGTAAATTCTGCCTCCCGACAGTTTCTTCTCTTTTTTTTTTTGGTTGTTGTTGTTTGACTGTTTTATTTATTTATTTAATTTTTTTTGTCTGCGGGCTTTGCTCAGATTAGCAAACCTCGTGTAAGAGAGAGGAAGTCAATACAAGCTAAAATGTGATATAAGATACGTCTGCAATTGTATTCCTTGATGAGTACAGTTAAGGATACGCCAGGGTTTCTGAACTTTGGACTTTTGACAGGAAAACACACACAGTAACAAATATTAGTAACTTTTGATAAAATTTGATTTCAGTAATGAACCACAATAAACACATATGAGCAAAAGGTAGAAGGAATATTCTTTTTTATTTTCTTGTGCAATCGATCAAACCTTTTTGGTCTTATTGTTTGTGTTGCGGTGAAATGTGAGGAGATAAACTCTTAGTTCTGTTGTGCTGACTCGACAGATGGGTGTGTGTCAGTCACTGTGGGTTTCTACTTGGAGAGTCTTTAGTGTCTGGAAAACAAACACAGGTCACCAGAGTGTCAACACTCAGACCGTACTGTTGAAGCTTCCATTGTAAACACTGGTGTCGTCTGAAGAAACTGATCCAGGAGGAAACTGTCAGCAGACTAATGTGTTCTCTTCTTTTGCTCCTTCTCACCCCTTCCCTTCAGGCTCTGACTACTCTCTGCCTCCCCACCTGCCTCAGCCTCCCCCCCCTGACCTGACAATAGAGCACGTTGGAGGCAGCAGCCGTGGCAACCATGGTGTCGGCGTGGTGGGCCTGGCTCCGGAGCACATCCCCACACCGGGGGCAGCCCTGAGCTGGCAGGCAGCCATCGATGCTGCGCGGCAGGCAAAGATGATGGGGAACGCGGCTTCAGGTGGAGGGGCGGGGCTTGGATCGGGAGGCGGCGGGCCCATCTCCACGGCCAGCTCGACGCAGAGGAAGCGACAGCACTATAGCTCCAAGCCCAAAAAACAGAACACAACGACGGCCACCAGGCCGCCTCGAGCGTTGCTCTGTCTCACGCTCAAGAACCCCATCCGCAGGGCGTGCATCAGCATCGTGGAGTGGAAGTATCCTTTACTTAAACATTGACGCAGGTCGGCCATAACTTGAATGACTAGGCTATTTTTTTTTTTAATTGTTTCATCGTTAAAATCTGTCTAGCAGTGTTTGACGACAGTGATGCCTTATCTGTCCTAGGAAAAAGTCAGGTGACGCAACGACTTACAGAAAAATCTACCTTTGCTTTTTTGTTCTTTTTGACCTCTATTTCCTTCTTCTTTTATTTAGTCTTAGTCCCTTTCCTTCACTACTCTTTAATCCCGTCTCTTCGTCTATGATTTCCCATCATTCCTTACCTTTCCCGGTGCTTGTATTTCATTTGAGACAATTTGTGTGCTGTCTTGGCAGAGAAGTGTGAAACAAATTTTTCATTTTCATTCCTCCTTCACACACTCCTCCCGGAGGCCTCCCCCCCAGCTGGCTCCACTGTATTCATCCTCTCTCCCTCAGGTCCGTCCGTTCCTCCGTTTCTGTCCTCCGTCTCTGTCCTCCGTCTCTGTCCTCCGTCTCTGTCCTCTGTCTCTCCACCGCAGAGCCACTGCCATCATTCATTAAGGCTCCCTTTCCCTCTCCATCCACCCAAATCCTTTTATTCCAGCTTTTCCTGCTCATGCAGCCCCTCGCCTCCCTCCCTTTTGAAGTTTTTTTTATTTTTTATTTTTTAAAGCTGCCCAACATAATAAGGTAGTTTTCCCTCATGGTGACACAGAGGGAGAATGGGAGAAAGAAGCAGACAGCGATGGTCAGAGTCACAGTCACAGTGATCTATAATAAGAGAGCGTCCACACCAACTCACCAAGAGCACATTCACACGTCGTCCCGAGGCCGTGGAGAGTGGGAGGAGAGGGATCAGTGAAATGGGAAGGGCAGAGATGTGGGCAGGACATGGAAGTCGACAGGAGAGATGATGAAGCTGAGGAGCAGAGGAGAGAGAGAGGGAGCGAGAGAGAGAGAGAGAGAGAGAGAGGGGAGGGCAGGATGGGAAAGTTAAACAAAAAAAAAAAACAAATCATGGAGGTGCAGGTGGAGATAATGTAGAATAAGGGCAGAGCTGAGATGATAAGTGAGTGCTTGCAGAGGATTCATGTAAAAATAATGATGTTTCCTAATCTAATGAGAAAATGGTTACTCTGAAATCTATAGACATCTGCTTATTCCAACTCTAAATTTCCCAGAGGACAAGCCCTTCCATTTTTAAAAAAATGGCTGTTGTCACCCTTTTGGCTGTTATACAAGGTTCGGGCAGTGTGTCATCTGGTCACCCTGTGTATATATAATTATGAAGGGGTCAAATGTCAGCAGCTAACCCTCACACTACACCTTCCAGCTGGACTGGAGCCAGAGAGGAAAAGACAATTTGCATGCGTGAACCAGCAGGGTCAAAGGAACAGTTTCCCCCGCGGTGACTGACGAACATTCAGATCATTACCCACAATTCCCAGAATCCCTCCCTTTAAACAGGCCTTAAGGATGTGAGCGACAGACAGATGCAGGTGACGACACGGAACATGTGGCTGTTCAGTTTCAGACTCCATTTTGTTCAAATACAATTGAGTGTTTCCTGATTCTTGTGTAAAGCCCTACAGTCACTCTCTCTTTACACAGGGATCTCCAGGTGCATTATTCAAACCAACAGGGAGAGAACAGAAACCAACACAGTGTCAGATGCTAGGAGCTAACTTCATTCAGTTATCTAGGTTTGCTAACCATAGAAACCAAAGTGAGCAAAAACATTTACACTGTCTGTCTCTGTTCTCAGTGTTAGAGCAGATCTGCCAACAGGACAATTTCTGCTCCTCGACATGGATGTAAATGTCAGGACACAAAAAAGCAAGAGTGTTAGCATTAGCACGAAAGATAGCGACAAAGGGACTGATGCACTGTATGTTACACTGATCAAACTCAGGTACGGGGGCCAAATCTGGCCCACAGTACAATTATATGCTATGCTACGGGATAGCACATACTGTACATTTAGTTTTTTTGGTATTGGCCTTTAAAAAAAAGATTTAAATTAAAAAGGAAAGGCTACAGAAAAAATAGACATAATAAGAAACAAATACCACTGATGTGTGTTTTATTTCAAATTTAATTTTTTGTGTTCATAATATTAAGCTTCGGTTCTTCCAGATTTAATGTTTACGCAAAACTAAAGTTTGTTTCCATTTGAAAAAAGTCTCATTCTGTCGTTAATTTCTCAATTTTGACTGACTTTGAATTTGAGTTTACAACATTCTCCAGTTCCCCAGTCTTACTTTGGTTCCTCCTAGAGGAGGCCGAGGGCAAAAGGAAACCTTTTCTCTAACATCCATGTATCCACGATCTCCTCTTTAATTACGTCCACTCTTTGTCCACCTTGTTTTTTAAAGCCAAAGACCAAGAAGATAACCAGATAACTACGGTAACGCTATCATAAAAGCTGTAAATGTCACCAGAGGTCGGTCCCCGAATTCCCAACGCTCCCAGTCTTTGTTTCCTACCAGGACGTCCTTCAGCCGACGTGCACCACAGGCTGTGTGTGTGTGTGTGTGTGTGTAGTCACGTGTCCCTGTGTTGTGGTGTTTGTGCATGCTGTAAATGTGCGTCCTGTGTTCTGTCAGTGCCTCCGTCTCTGGAGATAGTGGATCCGTAAAATCCTCCTCTCTTTCTCCTCTGTTACCAAGACAACGGCGACGACTGCTCTCAACAGGTCGATGAGGCCTGTCTGAGCTGAGACGTACATGAAACACACTCACGGATTAGACAGGACACACACGCACACACACACGTACATACTGCTGCACAGATGATGAAGGAAAGGTACCTGCCACTAACACACACACACACACACACACACACTCACACAACACTGTGTAATTATAGCATTCGAGCATTACCTGCAAAGTGTCGAGGTCAGTGTGAGAGACAGAGGCAGGTGTACGTCTAAATACCATTTTGTCTTTATGAAATCACACTAAGTGGTAGTTTCAAAGGGTGTCTTAGTGTGTACTTACACACACACACACACACACACACTTGTCCCTGGCCAACAGCTTATATATCAGTGAGGGGGGTGTGCTGTGTATATGCATTTTTAGCTCAGTAGGAAACACAGATAAGTGCTCCCAGTATAAAACAGCTCAGCTCTGGACTTGCTGACCACGATAGCATCAGTGGAGCCCGGGTTTCTTACAATATTTGGCTTCGTCCAGAGGGGAAAATGATCTGCTCCGCCAGCCAACAACGAGTACTGCTGTTGTAGTGAAACCTTGGGATTCGAACTCAATTAACGTCAGGCGCCGGTGAGGGAAGAGTTCCAGGAACAAGGAGGAAGAAGTTCGCCAAATGTTTGTTTTTGATTTGGTAACTTTTTAACAACCACCTGAAACACATTTGGTCTAAAACTACCGCTCATGAAATCAGGACTCGTTGTAACATCTGTCTTTTGGATTTAGCCAGTGACCGCTCTTGATTTTTTAATTACTGTGATGCTTCAACTTGCAACCAAAAAATTAGGGAACTTATATTTCGCTGGGCTCCTGCATTATTTCCTCCTAGGACAGTAGATACATCACTGGCTGTATTTTTGCTCTGTTTGGACAATTTAGGTCAGAAATGACTTATTAGATGTTGATAAGAGAAAAGAGTTTTTGTTTTTTTTTTGTTTTTTTTTGGTGGTATCTTTAACTTGCCATGAAGCAAACTGCCAAAAATCGTAATGCTCAAGAGAGTGAAGAGAGCTGGGACGGATGTTAAGCCAACGACTGATTTTAGAGCTTATTTTACATCTGCAATCAATTTGATAAAAAAAAATAGAAATAAGTATTTTATATTTGGAAGAGTTTTTATATTTTCTATTATTCTTGTCCAGAATCCTAACTGCCCACTAAGTGTTCCTTTCCCCCTTTGCATCAGAGCAGACAGTAGATTCATTACCTTGTTGATGGAGACAGACCTCAAGGGTCCCTGAAATTATGGTCCACAAACCCAGAATGAATCACAGTCCTGTTTTTCTGTGGGTGCCCTCATGTCTGGAGTGTGTTTTTAACGAGTGATTAACTGGGATGTCTCCGGGTCTCAGGCTGAACGAGCTGAATGATCCTGTGGCCCATGATGCTCTGGGGTCAATCTGTAATCCAAACATAAACAGAGTTTTAGCCCCACTGTAATAGAAGCTAAATAAACCTTTCCTCCCTCTCACTCCGACTCAACGCTTCCAAAATCATGACCAATATTTTGGAAAGTCTTTTCTTTCTTTCTTTCTTTTTTTTGGCATTGCCAGTTGCTGTGGTGATTGATATTAGGGATTAAGGTATTTTTTAAACATCTTTATGAAATTAATTATTAGTTGGAATAATTAGTGAGTTGAGAAAACAGTAGCGATCAAATAGTGTTTTTTATCTTGTGTAATTAATCATGGCTTTTGCTTCAAAACTCCCCTGATCTTTGTTTTTTAAATGCTTTCATCTCTACAGTGTGGCTATTTTCATTAAACCAAAGAAAGAAATATAATTAAATAAAGTCCTCCCACTGTGGGCAAAAATAAGTCAATAATAACATTTTGATAATTGCAGTAACTCTGCGACACCCTACAGGGTGCCTCCCCCACTTTGGGCAACACTGGTTTAGACCACAGAGCTGCTTAGATATTTAAAAAAAACAATGATATCAAATAAAAAAAAAAGATATAATTATTTATAATGTCAAATCTTATACTTTATTTTCAGATTTCTTAGAGAGTACAAAGTCATTGAAAACAAGTGTTTAAGTTTAAGGACAAACTTTGCTATTTTTGGAGTGTGTTAATCCACTCCTAAACATTTGTCAAATGGTATATAACAGCAGACAAAGAAAACCCAAAGATGGCTGATTTAATACACATTGATCAGAGACTTCAGGGAGGACTGGACTGGAACAAACAGCTGCGTGAAAAAAACTCAGTGTTTTGACATTTAAACCAGTGTTGTACCTTTGGTTTTCCTGTATTTTTTCCCCCAATGCGAGTGTCCTTCGCTTTTGCCTGAACCTTATCCAATCATTTAATGTTATCATCATGTAGCAACTATGGAAGGATCCAGCACTGGGTTGGATAGAAAAGGAGGAAAATCCGATTTAAGTGCAGCAAACGTTCAACCTTGTCTTTGACCTTCTGTTGTATGACGTTAAACATCAACTTCAGCTAGAAAAAAAAGTTCTGTTTGGAGGTAGTGACAGCAGCGGGGCCAGTGTCTGGACTTGAGCTCCTCCTGATTTGACATGCAGCATAATGGAAATGGGAATTGAAATAAGGACTTTGAGGAAGGAAGAAAGCAAGGAGAAAAGGAATGAAAGGGAGGTGGAGGAAGGTGACAGCAGTGGCAGTCGCTAATTGTGTTGATGGAAACCAGACCTCCTCTACCTCCCCTTTGCATTCTCTTTTTTTTTTCTCTCTCTCTTCACCTCTCTCGCTCTCCCCCCCCTCTCTCTCTCTCTCTCTCTCTGAGGCCAAAAATAATGAGGTCACTCCCCTCTCAAGGACCGTTCCAAATAAAAACTCTCTGTGTCTCTCCTCCGCTCCGAGTTCATTCCTAACCACTCGAACTCTTCCTCCTCCGTCCACATCCCGTCTTCCACGCGACAGGCCCGCTCTCTGCTGCACCCATATTTGGTCATGCAGTGTATGTCTCTCTCTCTCTCTCTCTCTCTCTCTCTCTCTCTCTCACCTACCTTTCCATACACCCCCCCACGCACACAATACACACAGACAGAGACGCTCCCTCAGTGATCCACTGTGTCTTAACAAAAAGGCAAACTCTCTAGCTTTGATGTCTCCCATTGTGTACACTTCTTCACTTCACTGTATTGTGCGTGTGTGTGTGTGTGTGTGTGTGTACAGTATTTATATTCTTCTCTTATGTAAGTGTGTTTAAAAATACCTCTGTTAAAATAACCTGCCTAGTATTGAGATTTGTTGTTTTTCAGACTGTATTATTTTCAGCAGTGTCTCCGCTTTGGTCTGTCAAACTGTCCTAACTGTCCACCGTTATTCTGACGCTTTCTTGTCAGTTAGCGTCAAGCTACGTTTATGTTACGTTTTTACTTTTGATAAAACTGATGAAACAGAAGTCTACATATTACTAATTTACTGTATATATTTGAGAAATCTATTTTTTTTTTTGCTAACTTTCAACTAGCAACCTTTCTGGCCTTACTTTGAGAAAACATTGGCTAATTATTATTTTATAATTATTATTATATACATTTTATCAATTCATAGCCTACTGTAATTTTGTTGTTGAAGTTTGGTTAACCTTTGAGAAAACATTGGCTAATTATTATGTATTATTATTATATACATTTGATCAATTCCTAGCCTACTGTAAATTTGTTGTTGAAGTTTGGTTAAGCATATTTATTTTATTTTTAATAAACAAATCTCATATGTTTTTAATAAAATGCTAAATCTAAAAAAAAGTTGAAATCTAAAACTTTGCCGCGAGCTTGATAGGTTCACTAAGATCCACTTTTTACACTTTATCCTGGTGTGTACGTTCCTTAACCTGTTTTTCCATCAGACCATTTGAGATCATCATCCTGATGACCATTTTCGCCAACTGTGTGGCCTTAGCCGTCTACATCCCTTTCCCCGAGGATGACTCCAATGCTACCAACTCCAACCTGGTGAGTAATCACAGACGTTTTCGTCTCCTCGCAGTCCGCTGATTCGCTCTGTGGTTTATTGGATGGAGTAAAGTCTTGGTTTAAAGTTTCTTCAACATCTTCGTTCTTCGTCAGTGCTGAACTCTGAGTGGACTTAGTTGGACAACTTCAACAGTCTTGATGATTGTAACTTTCCAGACATTTGACGTCAATGGAGGTTTGCAGTTTACATTTAATATAAAATAAATGATCATTATCATTATGCTTTTGGCCTGGACGTGAGTAAGAAATATTCTAAGCTTTTTTTGGAGCTCATGTCGTCTGAGTTGACACGATTTGTCGTTGCCAAAACGTCATCTTGTCCAATACAATAACCTGCACTATACCCTGTCATAGAATCTATGGGAAAAACATACTGTGACACAAAACATGTGGTGAATCATCAATCAGAAGTCTTTGCCAAAAAACCTTCTTGTATTATTTAAACCTGGACGCACACATGGGTGTGGTCTCCATAACGCAGTGCTGTGTGGTCCTGTGTGTCGGTCGCTCTGGACCAGGTAATTGTGTTGGTGTGTGTCGGCCCACAGATGTACTTTCTGCCAATGCATTAGTCTATGAAGGGCTTTAATCCCAATGAGGTCACGTCACATCTGTTACACGTCTTTCTGTCTTCCTGAGACTGAGTTACTTGTTCAGGCTGAGAGCCTGTACTGTGGCTGTCATTCTGTCCTCATGGTGTGTATTTACTGCTGGATAAACACCATGTTCCTGAATGTATGCTAACATGCTAACGCAGGGTTTGACTGTTGATTTGTTTGACATCATATAGTTCTATAACACATGTGTTATGAGTGTGTATGAAGTTACTAAAATCTTAGTGTAAACCAGTGGTTCCCAAAGTGAGGGGCGTGGAATTAGGGGCTGTCCCATTATGGGAAATTACACTTATTTGAAATTTGAAGACTTCCCTTTTTAAAAATTGTAGTTTTGTGAATTATAATGTTTATAACAACATTTTTAATCATCAACATGTGTCCAGTCTACCAAAAGGGAGCGCTGCAGAAAAAAATGTTGTTAATTTGTTGGGGGGTTTTTTTTTTTTTTTTTGGTTTCTTTTGACAAAATCTTTTTTACATCCTTATTTATAAAAGCATCAATTTCTAGATTTAATTCCATCATAATCAATGGGTTTTTTTTTTTTGGCAAAATCTTTTTTACATTCTTATTTATAAAAGCATCAATTTCTAAATTGAATTCCATCATAATCAATACTATTATTGCTAAACTTGTCCTGTTCCTTCCACCCTGCCCTGTAATCCATCTTTAACATGGGAATACTGTGCAAACCGATCTGACGTTACATTAGCCGCTCATTCAGAAATATCACTTCTTTATAGCCTTTATACTGCAAATAATCTTAATATTGCATTCGGGTAAAATAGTAACCCTTCTCCTTTGAGCTGATCCCTACCCTCCCCCCCAACAGATACTTCACCAGTAAAATACTTTTTTATTTATAAGCATCATCATAGAGTGCATAAAATGATCCCACTGTATCATTTACCACCATGAATAGCCTGGTCCTGCCAATCTCTTTGTTTTGAAACACTATACACGTATTTATAGACACTGAAACTTGCACAAAAAGTTTATCC